TTGTTACGCCTATCCGACGAATGAGCGGCAACCACATGTGACGACCCCGGGCTGGACTCCACTTCATCCACGTTGAAAGCCGATCCGGCAATCTACAGCGTGAAGTTGAAGTATTTCCTCAGCGACCAGCACGGATCAGCTCCAGGCATGACGAAGCGATATCGTCCTCTTTTGGAAGGCCAAATAAAGTAGTTTCGCTTTCACAACGCCTTCACAACATGGCTGCAGCGGCAACAATACTACAGCAAGAATAAAAGTTACGCCTTCTTTCTTTGCGTGAACATTTGGGCGGTGTTATGCAAATCTTCCCACATCGTGATGTAGATATGTGGGGGCGTGTTAGAACGAGCCGTTTTAGGTAGGCGTGGTTGACTCTTAACTTTTATAAAGAATGTCTCTTTGGATTTGAGACTTTAGTCTTTGCAACTTTACAGATCTTCTTTATGCACCAAGAGCTTGTAACACTCCAAAGAGAAAGGAAAATTTGAAATCACATCATATGACCCCTTTAAGATATATTCTCTTAAAACAAGTCTTACAAAGATCTTATTTTAAGAATATTTCCTGGAAAACAAGACGAAATAATGAAAATAGAATTTTTCTTTGTAGACACCACTAGACCTCAGAAGAAGGACGAGGAAAATGGCAAAGAATACTATTTTATTTCCAATGATGAAATGACCAAAGGTATCATCAGGAATGAGCTACTTGAATACGGCAGTTACCAGGGACACATGTTCGGGACTAAGATCGAAACTGTCCACAAGATTCACGAGCAAGGGAAAATCGCTGTGCTGGATGTGGAACCGCAGGTAATGCCACACTGTCGAGTCAACTGTCAATTTAATTAGTATAGCAATTGAATCATAGCATTGTGGCGATATGTTTTGTAATTATCACTCACATTGTTGTTGTTTTTTATGAACCTTCCAGTGTCACTAATTCTAGCTTGGACAGTGACTGGTTTTCTGAACTCTTTCTGTTTTTTTTTCAGATGCTGAAAGTGCTCAGAACGGCAGAGTTCGCTCCTCTTGTGATATTCATTGCTCCTACTAACACTGCCAGTCAGGTTAGAAACTGATTTATTCAAAACATAAGCCTCAGAAGCTCATTCCTAGCCATGCTTATGACCTAAAGGTTATAACACAACAATCTTTCATTTTTACACTCATAAGATTTCCATTCTACTTTTTCAGTCAGAGGCAGTGCAGAACATCCAGAAGGAATCCAACGGCATCCTCAGTGCATACTGTCACTTTTTCGATGAAGTGCTCATCAATAACGATGTAGACGAGAGTGTTAAGGGTGTGGAGGAAGCCATCGAGAGAGCCTCCTCATCCCCGCAGTGGGTACCAGTCTCCTGGGTGTACTAAAAACCCCAATCCCTTTTTCCAGTCGCCCCTCCAAAAATACCATACGAGTGAACCCCACTCACACTGTGCCCTGCCTAATACAGTCATTATCAAGACAGTTTGCACATGAATGCAAGTGTTTTATAGAATGTTTGGAAAAAGCAATACGTTTGTTCTTTTTGTTTAATATGTGAATGATTTTTAAATGACAGAGCGCTATAGCATTAAGCGATGACATTGTTAGCGATGCAAAAAGGACCTCTACTGTGATTCAAAATACCACTCAGTTCATTAAGGTCTGCTGGTTTTCGATCTTCCCTGGAGTTTCCGTGTGTTTTTTGTAACATGTGCCATGGTGTTCTTCTTAAATATAATTACATTAAAAAAAAAACATGTTAAAAACACAGGAAAATTGTATCAATCAATATGTGAACACAGGTTTGTCGTGTCCTGAAATGTTCTTCATAATGATATATGGATTTACCTCAAGTCATGAAGTAAGGCACTTTTAAAAGAACTGAATAAACCTCTCCCTTCACTCCAACTGTGACTCTCTGTGTTAAAGAAAGAAAAGCATCACTGTGACTAGCTACACATCTTTAAACATGAGCTAATATTTCTGGGAAGAAACAACACATTGCTTCACTGAAGTTCTATTAGACTGTTGTGAGTCTTAAGCTACAGCTACAGCCAGAGTGAATGGCTTTGTCCAAAACTCAAGACAGACCCCAAAGCGATTCCACTTATAATTATGTTCAGTGGCTGATTACCCTGTTGAAAAAAACAGCATATGCTGGTTAGGTATGTTTTGACGCTGGGATGCTGTCTATCTATCTATCTATCTATCTATCTATCTATCTATCTATCTATCTATCTATCTATCTATCTATCTATCTAGTCTAACTAATTGTCTTGTTATCAGTATGTTTATTTCTGAAGCACTTCAGAAGTACTTGTTTATCTTTGCAGTGTAAATTGAGCCTTCTCTATTGATGCTTATTCAAAAGTAGCTATGTATTCTGACTTTTACTAGAAACCACTTCTTTTTTGGAGGGATTTTAAAGAAATATTCATATTGAGAGAGAGAGAGAGAGAGAGAGAGAGAGAGAGAGAGAGAGATTATACCAGTTCATGCAGACAAATCTAACCATCATAATGGATCATGCATGCATCAGTCAATGAGTGTCTCTGCTGACCTCTTGTGTGGAAAAAATGGCATACAATCGCTTTTTATGATTATTGACACTAGAGGACCCTATAGGATCTCTATGGAAATCTATAAGTATTTTTTTTGTATTCCTATTTCAAGTGTGATATTAAGGTCTTATATCACTCAGATGAACACCTTTTTTGTTTTATTTTTAATAAATAAAATAAAATGTATTTAGGGTCAGAATGACCCAAGAACAAGATGAGAATGTGGTTACCTGCTTTTCTGGTAGCCTTTCAGTAAATGATTTATAAAACTCAAACCATCAGACTGTTTAGGTTATATTTTAAAAAAATATACATATAGAGAGAGAGAGAGAGAGAGAGAGAGAGAGAGAGAGAGAGAGAGAGAGAGAGAGATTATACCAGTTCATGCAGACAAATCTAACCATCATAATGGATCATGCATGCATCAGTCAATGAGTGTCTCTGCTGACCTCTTGTGTGGAAAAAATGGCATACAATCGCTTTTTATGATTATTGACACTAGAGGACCCTATAGGATCTCTATGGAAATCTATAAGAGTATTTTTTTTTGTATTCCTATTTCAAGTGTGATATTAAGGTCTTATATCACTCAGATGAACACCTTTTTTGTTTTGTTTTTAATAAATAAAATAAAATGTATTTAGGGTCAGAATGACCCAAGAACAAGATGAGGATGTGGTTATCTGCTTTTCTGGTAGCCTTTCAGTAAATGATTTATAAAACTCAAACCATCAGACTGTTTAGGTTGTGGTTTATTAAAATGCCAGGGTCTTTTATTAAAATAAAAATATTAACCGCAAACAGTTAAAATGCATTACTTTACAATAAATTCTAGTTTTTGTTTGTTTGTTTTCATTTCTTTATTCCCTTTAATATCTTTAATTCCTTTTCATTATTTTATTATTTTTACAGAAAACGAAATGCTACAGTAAAATCATGTTAATTTATCAACTGTACACTCTAAAAAATGCTGGGTTAAAAAGGGACAAACCCAGGTATTGGGTTGTTTTGACCCAGCGGTTGGGTTGTTGTGAACCCAACTGCTAGGTCAAAACAACCCAACTGCTGGGTCAAAACAACCCAACTGCTGGGTCAAAACAACCCAACTGCTGGGTCAAACAACCCAACTGGTCAAAACAACCCAACTGCTGGGTCAAACAACCCAACTGGTCAAAACAACCCAACTGCTGGGTCAAAACAACCCAACTGGTCAAAACAACCCAACTGCTGGGTCAAAACAACCCAACTGGTCAAAACAACCCAACTGCTAGATCAAAACAACCCAATAGCTGGGTTGTCCCTTTTTAACCCAGCATTTTTTAGAGTGTAAGATAACTTTAATTGTAAATGGTTTAACACTACATTTGAAATAATATTAAACTAATGGATGTTCTCAGAAGTCCCTGTTATTATTTAAATAATATTATTATTATTTAAATGTCTTTAATTTTATTCAGATTGAGTTCAATTTCACAGGATTTCATATTTATTTTATAGCAAGTTCATGTAGTTTGTATAGTCTGTCGTACCTTTTTATAATACATTTTTAATTATTCCGGTAAATATTATGTAAAATAAATATCAGCCATTCTGCATGTGTTAGTAACTGTCCTTAAATGAAATTGTATGATGTGATATGTCTTCAGCCTGTTCTTTAAGATATCAATATTGGCCATTAAAATCTAACTTATGGTCAACCATCACAATACAGTGACAGCACTTCTGTTTGGAGTCAATTTGGAGATGCCAGAGAAAGTTAAAAAGGCCTAATAGAATATAACTGAAGAACTCATTGTACTAATAATGTCTCTCCTTCATTATCTGTACCAACAGACAACAAAAACCAGGGTTCTGGGTCTTCTGAAAGAAAGGATTTTCATCTCTCTCCTATTCTGACTTCTGGATTTTGCTGGAAAGGACACGTCTTTCAGCTGTATCAGATATCTGTCATGCATTAATACCACTCATATGTCTGTATGCAGAATGTAGATTGTGAGTTTCTACATATTTCCTTCTACAGCTCTAAAGCATAAAGGCCTGAAGAAAGCTGTCACATCCAAACTACCCTGATCTATGAATTCATGATGCTTCTTTTAAATGTATACAGACTAGGGGCCAGATTTAGCCTACTAAACAGGGCAAATCAGCATGAAACCACAATCCCATAAAAGCACCAATGGGAGTGGAAATTGTTGTTAATGCATTAACTAACTTTAACTTATGGGACCTTATTCTTAAGTATTTAGTCCTACATTTGAGTTCCATTCACACCAGAACAGTTGCACATTGTGTATAGTTGGAGTGTGTAATAAAATATATATTTTTTTAAAGTATGCTTTAAATCAATCAAAATGAATGTTAAAGCATTAAGATGATGGGAGGTGTTTGCAATGTAGGAAAAATATCCCTGGTTGACGTAAATATGGTGCTCGTGCCGTCCTGTGAGAGCACGAGATAGATGACTGAGTCTGACATCACAGGAAGCTCAAATGCAAGTCTGATCTGATGAGGGCTGTGACTTTTCCATTAACTAGATATATCATTTTATTTTGACAGTTTCCTGCCTGAATTGTGTGTATACTGGGATCCTCGTTATCCTTTTAAGCTCTCTTGAGGATGGCTGAGCCAAGTGGGAGATATCAGCAGGTGAGTGGGTTCCACTGTGACTCGACACGGTTATTTTTAAAGCAGACCCGCGGCAGGCGCCTCCACGGCGGGGAGTGTTGTCGGGAAACTCCGAGGCTCTGACAGGATGCGGGCCGCAATGTTTTGAAATGAATAACTCGTCCATTTAAATGATAGCGGCATGACATAACATGTAGTTTAGCCAGTTCGTTATTTAAAAGTAGTTGCTAATGCTATTGTTTCTTGCTTACGTCAAAGTTTTCATTCATACGATATAATTTACGTAACTCGTTAACAGTCCCAGTGCAGGGTAAGTAAACTTAATGCAGGGATATTGCAGATTGGCAGATATTTATGTAACGTTAGCAGGAACCAGCCTGGTTTGTTTAATTTATAAGTTGACAAAATGTCTGGTTAGATCTACTATAGACTATAGAATTGCATGTCCAAGATACTTCGAAAACTGATAAAACCATGATTCTGGGACGTGAAACATGTCTCAAAAACCATGGTATTACCATGGTGTATGCCTGGAAACATGGTATTACCATGAGTTGCGTTTTAAAGATATATAAATCTGAAAAATAATGTAACTTTGTCTATTATATGGTCCCTTTAACTCTGTAAAGCCTGATAAATGCCTGAAATTATAGTCAGAAAAAAAAATGTTTTGAAATATAACAGTTTATTGACCCGTGGCTTTATGGCCCTTAAAGTATGATATAGTGAGAATATGGAGCTTATACTTTGAGGAAAATATTCCTGTTTTATTCAGAGGCCCAAGTTGAGCACAGAGATATGCAAATTGGTGCAGATGTTGTTATTTATGTAAGATAGTAAGAAGAAATTCTGATGGCTTATAATGTAAATCAATGAGATTTGTGTAACAATACAGCAGACTACAAAATGTTCAGTTGCTTCAGTCCAGTAAATGTTTATCTTGAAATATTTCTAACAATATAAAATTTCTTCTTATGCTTACTCAATAAAATACTTAATAATAATAACACCATAAAGGTGCACATTTTTAGAATTATACTAAAAGGACTTTTGAGGGAGTAGAAGGCATGTAGTAGATTTTGTGCAACAGGTTTTTCAGAAAAGTTTTGATCTTGCTGATAATTTAGAGGCCTTAGAAATGCGTGCATCAAATTTGATACAGTAGGATTTAGGGTTATTATTGTTAATACTGCTACAAAAGGTATAATCCTATTTCAGTCGGTTGTATTATGTGACTGTTTACTTCATCATTTAGTGAATAAAACATGAATAAATTATGAAGGGCAGTTTGGCAGCTCATTTCCCCCCCCCCCTGATTTATGAAATGGTGAAGGTGAGCACTTCTGGAACAAATGTGACTGTTTTGTGTGTGGCCACATAATGAGTGTATGGCAAGTCATGTGAGTTTAAACTTAGTTACATATGTAATGGAGTTACGTTGTCATAGTCTGCATTTGTAGGGAGCATTTAAACTGACTCCACTGAAATGTAATTTTAACTCATTAATATTTGGCTTAACAAAATGATCATCTCATATTTCCACTTGCCTTTATGGCAGAGTTGTATTTGCAATGATGTCACAGTCAAACTCGGGAGGCAAAGTTCAGGTTTTCATGCAGCCAATGAATTCTCTTGTGTCACCAGCTGCCCAATGAAGAGGAGCCAGAGGAGGGACCTCAGGTGGCCAGTGATCCTCCGCCCCCTTACAGTAGCATTGCAGCTGACAGTGCAGGTATGCAACATTTATAGGGCCCAATGAAATCCATTTTATTTTTCTGTTTTCCATTTCCTTTTTTTTTCTGGGTTCTATTTTAAAGGTTTAATATTGAATTTGGATGTCTAATCATCATGGAAATCATAGTGCACAGCATGTATTTTATTTTATTTTTCAAACTATATTATGCAATAACACATGTGAGTAATCACCATTTATATTTTTCCCTTATACTCAGCATATTTTGATTACAAGGACGATGCAGCATTTCCCAAGCCCCCATCTTATAATGTAGCCACATCTTTACCATCGTACGACGAAGCTGAGAGAACCAAAGCAGAGGCTACTATCCCACTGGTGTCAGGCCAAGTGAGTATGGTAATCTCACCCATTAATTCGATCCAGCTCCGGGACAACAAATCCTTAACATCACACCACAGGAAATACTGTTTTAATGTGATGTAGTGTCCCCTGTTCACTGCTCTGTTTCTCTGCCACACACTGCTTGCGTACAGCACAGGGAGCGTCTGGACACATTCGATGACGTTACTCGCTGTGCGCTGGAGGTACAATAAGAGTGTGTGAGACCGTAAAGTGTGGAGGTGATGTCGATCTAGGAAGACCCCAGGGTCCTGTTTCTCTGGCTTGAACCTGTTACATGTCTTGACTAGTTTTTTGTTTTTTTTTGGTAATGTAAATTTGCTGCACAGAAAAATATCTGCACTAATAGCAGCCATTTGGATAACAGCACTTGACTTGGTGCTTTTCAGGCCATGAAATGATGCCCCTGGTGTCTTAGGTTTTAGATGTGATGATAGTTATGTGCTATAGAGTATCTGAAATGTTTTTTCTGGATATATTTTGCTATTTGATATATGTCTGATATATGTATATGTGTAATTTGGCACAATCATCAAAAGTTGTATATATGAAATGCAGTTCTTTCAGTCAGAACAACTTTTAATGGAAGCTCAAAAATTTTTGATGAAACTGTAATCATGATCCTGCAAGCTGTGGAGAAATTTCACATTTCAAACATCTGATGCCCCTGGTGTCTTAGGTTTTAGATGTGATGATAGTTATGTGCTATAGAGTATCTGAAATGTTTTTTCTGGATATATTTTGCTATTTGATATATGTCTGTGGAAACGTCTGGTAATTTGGCACAATCATCAAAAGTTGTATATATGAAATGCAGTTCTTTCAGTCAGAACAACTTTTAATGGAAGCTCAAAAATGTTTGATGAAACTGTAATCATGATCCTGCAAGCTGTGGAGAAATTTCACATTTCAAACATTCTTTGAGACTTTATTGTACTATGAAAGCATATTGTAACTTCATTAGAGAAATAAATTTTTTTCTAGTCTTGATTAGTTTGAGAATTTTTTTGAAGCAGTGCATTAATAGGCATTGCGTCGTATGCATTAAATCTTAAGTGTAGTAACATTTAACACAAGTATGCACTTTAGGAAAACATAAGTCATGCACTATTCCTGCATCCTCCGCTGTTTTCCAGATGTGTTTTGTCCATAAAATTTAACAGAATCCATAGGCGGCACGGGGAAGGGTAAGCAATCCAACTATGGTTCAGACCAAGCAATCAAACCAAGTGTGAAAGCACCAAATATTGAAATTTGAAACTTCCACATCATTGCATTCTGTTTTTATTCACAATTTGTACAGTGTCCCAAATTTTTTGGAATCGGGTTTGTACATGTCTACCAAGTCCGCTCTTAAAGTGTTGTTTAATTTTTACTTAAGTGTTTGTGGTTTATGTTTCTGTGAATTATATGAGCCCCAATGCATCCACTCACACTCCTCTCCTATTGTTATCTAATTCTCTTGTTTTTCTCATTTAAAGGGATAGTTCACCCAAAAATGTTTATCTGCTTACCCCCAGGGCATCCAAGATGTAGGTGACTTTGTTTCTTCAGTAGAACACATATGATGATTTTTAACTCCAGCTGTTGCAGTCTATCAGTCGTATAATGCATGGCAATGGTAACAAAATCTATGAGAGTAAAAAAAACATGCACAGACAAATCCAAATGAAACCCTGCGGCTCGTGACGACACATTGATGTCCGAAGACACGAAACGATCGGTTTGTGCGAGAAACCGAACAGTATTTATATAATATTTTACCTCTAATACACCACTATGTCCAACTATCTTTGGGCGCGCGCACGGCATCCGGTGCGTGAGGTATGTACGCACTCAAGCGCCAGAAGTGATCTCTCGCACGTATACGTCACTCATTATTTACACGGTGCACAAACATTGTAGGTACGATGGCTATTCAAAATGGTATTTACTTGCGCTTATCCGGATTGTTCAAACCGACTTAAAACTAAAAGATTACTTTCTCTCACGCGAACTCATTCGGAGTGGTGACTTACCACGGATTCCCAACTTCTGAACCTGCTCGCCTGAAGTTATGGTTGATTGCTCTTCAGCTGGATATCAATTAACGTAAACTACGCCAGAGCACGTACACACCTCATACACCGGATGCCGTGCGCACGCGCGCAAAGACAGTTGGACATAGTGGTGTATTAGAGGTAAAAAAATTATATAATTACTGTTTGGTTTCTTGCGCAAACCAATCGTTTCGTGTCTTAGGACATCAATGTGTCGTCACGAGCCGCAGGGTTTAATTTGGATTTGTCTGTGCATGTTTTTTTTACTCTCATAGATTTTGTTACCATTGCCGTGCATTATACGACTGATAGACTGCAACGGCTGGAGTTCAAAATCTCCGTTTGTGTTCTACTGAAGAAACAAAGTCACCTACATCTTGGATGCTCTGGGGGTAAGCAGATAAACATCAAATTTTCATTTTTGGGTGAACTATCCCTTTAAAGGGGTCATGACATGGATTTTTTTAATTGTTCCTTAATGGCCACTTATAACATTAATAAAGGGTTTTGCATACATTTTTTTTAAATATTTGCTGATCCTCTTGTTTGAAGTGATCTGTTTTTAAAGAGCGGCTACTTTAGGGTTTGTCAGTAAACGGCCACTGTAATGATCGGCTAACAGCATTGCACAGGAAATAGTATCAACGCTTCTTGCTATTGCATGTGAGTAATGCTGAAAACATTATCCATGTAAAACCGTCATTAACAGACAAACCAATGTTTGTCAAATTGTTTACGGTGTAATTGGATTGCATTGCAGCTGTTGTCAGATCCAATACAGTTGGCTGCTTCATCTTTCCACAGAAGTTTCTTTGCAAACTCTCCATTATACTGTGCTTCGTTTACATAATATGGAGTCAAATGCTCCGAACAAATGTATAATCCTCCAAACGCCATTAACAATAAACCATCCACTTGTTCCTGATGCTGGAGTCCTTCTGAAGTCAGTGCTTCCATTTGTTGTCTTGACTGGAGTAGCTCTAGTGCATGGAGTAAATTGAATGGGCATCTGTAATACTGTATTCAGTATAGATAGCGTCAGTGATTATAATGGGTTCTATTTGCTTTTTATGCCACGGTCGCATCCGGTGTAAACAGTCAGCTAGTGGGCAGGGTCCTGTGGTACAATCATGTTCAACTATTCGTCGATGTCTTGCTCTAGAGGAAGATGTTTGAGCTATAAAACTAGATGTTTTAATGGAACAAATGCCTTCTATAATGATCAAGAAAGTTTCAACAATCAATGAAAATTAGATTTCTCATGTTATGACCCCTTTAAACAATCTCACGATTGCCTTGTTTTAGCCTTGCTTTGCTCTTTCTGTCTCTGTTACACATTTAGATTTAATGGACATCTCTGTCTCTGTGTATTTTCCTGCAGGATGATGACTTTGTGGCCAGAGATGACTTTGAGGATGCTGACCAGCTGCAGATAGGCAACGATGGCATTTTCATGTTGACATGTTTCAGTGAGTGTTTTCATCTTTTTTTATGTCTTTCCCATCAAGCACGAAAGTGTGAATGTTACCAACCAAATAAAAAAGAAAGGGGAAAAAAGTAACAAAAAGAAAATGCTGGTGATGAGTGTCGTGAATTTTAATTGTTTTTTTATGAGAATAAACAATTCCACATAATCTTTAGAAAATCTGATATTTCTGATTTCAATGTTAAAATATAATTTTTCCTCAGTGGCATTCCTCTTCAACTGGATTGGCTTCTTTCTGTCATTCTGCCTTACAACCTCAGCAGCTGGGCGTTATGGCGCCATATCTGGGTTTGGTCTGTCCCTCATCAAATGGATTCTCATCGTACGGGTACGCTCCCACCTAGACAGCTGCAGCTAATTTTACACATTATGATTTATTTCGATAGTATATCTATTGGTTAACCATTTTGGCTTGGCTGGGTTAGTGAGAACATTCCAGAAGCACATTACCCCACATTAGTAATCACCACAACTGCTCAAATCTGACTAAATGATTTGAACACGCTGTAATGTATTGTAATGGGTTTTCTTCATGACATTACAAGCCTGGACATGATCAGTGCTTTATCCATGCATCTCTTTCTCACTCTTCCTCTTTCTTTTCATTCTCAGTTCTCTGCTTATTTCCCTGGTTACTTTGATGGACAGTACTGGTTATGGTGGGCAAAGCCCCTTCCCCCCCCCCCCCCCCCCCCCATTAGTAATCACCACAACAGCTAAAATCTGACTAAATGATTCAAACATGCTGTAATGTATTGTAATGTGTTTTGTTCATGACATTACAAGCCTGGACATGATCAGTGTTTTTATCCGTGCATCTCTTTCTCACTCTTCCTCTCTCTTTTCATTCTCAGTTCTCTGCTTATTTCCCTGGTTACTTTGATGGACAGTACTGGTTATGGTGGGTGTTTCTGGTGCTTGGTAAGTATGAGTGCACGAAACAGCAGTTTTCTCTGCTTGTAAAATAGCTTCAATAAGTGCTAAAATTGGTTTGTTTTTCTAGTGTAATGACACCTTGAGCATTAAAAAGATGTACATTGTCGGCACAGTTCAAAGGCCGTTTGAAGACAGGGCTTAAAGGAGCAAGAGGCGCAAGCACTGATATGAGTTTTTATGATCTGCAGGCATCCTGCTCTTCCTCAGAGGCTTTATTAACTATGCTAAGATCCGAAAAATGGCAGACTCCGTTTCTACTCTTCCACGGACCAGAGTTCTCTTCATCTATTAAAGGTAAATATTTCTGAGCCTCTTTTATATGAAGGCAAAGCTATTTTGTATTTAGTTTTGCAGCTATATATTTTTTATATTTAAAAATGTATGCAAAGTTCAATTAAAAGCCCTTTTTTCACAACCTATTGTTATGAACACCCTCTTTTCTGGATGCAGTGAATTAAATAACTTCGCAAAAACAAAACAAAAAAAGAAATGTCCTCGCACATTCAACTGCTTTTATTATCAGCAATATTTCTTAACATGTAAATATTAGTATTAACATAGAAAGTTCAATAACTTAGACAAACTGAAAAGGTTTCACAGGCATTTGATGAACAGAAAAGGAATAACGAGTCCATGAACAAAGCGGGGGTCAATATCAAAAGCTGCAGTGAGTATTTTGGGTGTCCACCAGCTGCTTTAAGTACTACAGTGCATCTCATCCTCATGGACTGCACCAGATTTACCAGTTCTTGCTGAGATGTTAGCCCACACTTCCACCAAGGCCCTTGCAAATTCTTGAACACATCTGGGGAGACACATGCTTACACGTGGTTTACAATCAGCTGTCCTTCCTGTCTGCCTGAAGCTCCCTGTCTTGGGCAGCTTATATTACGGACACTGCAGTTCCACAGTTGTATGTGTTAGCTTATTCGGATTTTACAAAATGAACTTTAAAATACAGTATCCTGAATAGGCTTATCCTGAATAGGGCACATTGGGTTGGGTTGCACATGCCATATGGTGTTGACTTTAAAAGGCATTGTCCAGTGTTGCAGGTCAAATAGTGCAATGACCATACAAAAGTTGTGCTCGGGAAGCAAGCATGCAGTTTGGAACATCTCTGGAATAGTTTATAATAATGACTGTCCAGTCCAGTAAAGTGAACACATGAATAATAATTTTTTATTTTTTTTTATCTACTCTAGTCACTTGCTGGAAATGAAAACGCATTCATGGGCCTGCATTGAGCCGTTGACCCAGTGGGGAAAATATAATTAAGAAAAAAAAAATTCCTTCCATCTGTTATCTACTCATCTGAAAGGAAGACCGCGGAATTCCAGAGCGTTGGAGGAAGAGCGTTTTTTTTCCCGTTCTCTGCTTTTGAAAATGCAGTTTGGGTGTCAGATAGCAAGATACTCTTTTTACATTTCTAGATGTATAGTGGATGCTAACAGCTCTATACCTATTCTGAAATCATTAGTGGTTTGATGTTGAGTGCTATTTGCTCTTTTCAAGTCTGTAAAGTATTAAAATAACCATATGTATGAATTCTTGTTTGTAGTACAGGCATGCACTATGCTCCCTGTTAACCAGTAGAGGGAAGTCTTGCTTTTTTTATTGCAGTGTGTGTGCTTTTTTTCCCTGTGACGTTTGACAAGAAGGCAACCAGTCACCATTCATGAAGAGCTTTTCTCTTTGTGAATGGCAGTGTGAAATGAATTGAATCTAAAACAGTCAATGCGTTTCTTTTATTCTCTTCTACCGTTTCTCTCTGCCTCCTTACATAACATGAAATTAAAGTTACTGTTTTTAAGTCCTCATTATTGATGTGGTTCAGACGTGTTTTATTGGCCATGTAGTTCTTTCAAACGGCTTATTAATACCAAAATTAGGATCAAGGAATATTTCTTAAAAGATCCAGGAGACGCATGAATGGCATCTAGCATTAGTAAATGTATGGTTGTACACTTAACATTTGGCCCCATGTTTGAGTACTTGCAACTTTTCAGGGAAGAAAACTTTAATATTTGCATTCAAACATTTCTCCTTTTATACTATACTGCTGTCGGCTGATAGCACTGCACATTTTTCCGATCTTTAAATATACGTTTAGCCGGATGCCTCTCCTTCACCTTATGCAGTGGCCGTGATAGGGGCCCGTTTGATCTCTCGCTGTCTAATCGTGCATGATTCTGTTGTGGCTTGTCTGCTCTTGTCACCTTGGGTCTCATCCGTGACACAGGAAGTTACTCTTTTGTGTTGTGTTTTCCATGCAGCTTTGCGGTCGCCCATTGAATTCCAATGGCTGTGCACATGTATTTGCTTGTAAATAAGATACTGCTATTAAATGTCTCTGGTGTTCAACATGTGCTGGAAATGTTTTTGGCGTATCTTTGTTGTAATACACAAGAAATTTGAGTAAACATTTAAAGTACTTTGATGAACTTTGTACAATATAATAAATGAATGTGAAGTTGTAATTATGTAAGTATTATAAGTATGCCTTATGATTATTTATGCTTGACTTTGTAGAGTCATGAAATTTAAACTTTAATTTTTTTTATGGTTTAAAATACTTTCAAAAAATATGAGGATAATATGAAAACAAAGAATGTTTCTAAGCATTCAACAAGAAATTTGAGTAAACATTTAAAGTACTTTGATGAACTTTGTACAATATAATAAATGAATGTGAAGTTGTAATTATGTAAGTATTATAAGTATGCCTTATGATTATTTATGCTTGACTTTGTAGAGTCATGAAATTTAAACTTTAATTTTTTTATGGTTTAAAATACTTTCAAAAAATATGAGGATAATATGAAAACAAAGAATGTTTCTAAGCATTCATCGCCTGAGATTCTCTCTTAATTTGTCACTGACCGTTTTCTAACAGCAAAAGCCTTTGAGAAAGAATCATCTGTTACTGAAGGTTTGTTTTCAACTGTTAGCCTCTCCTGAAGTCGCTGAGCCAATAAAACTAGTCTGACCTGATTTCCCTGGTCGGATGTAGATGAAAAATATTCATGTCAACAAGGGCAAATTTCTGTTGTGGTTGCGGCCGGAGACTATTGACAGGCGATATATCATGTCAGCGAAATGAAAGTAAAGAATCATGTGGAATGTGGAATATTAAACAGCTGGGGTTTTTTTGTCGATGCCCATCTAATAGCTCATGAATGCATGCAAGTGTGGGTTTGAGGAGCAGGCACAGGCTGTCTCCTGTTATTGCCTGTTTGTGCTGTCCATTTGAGGTGTGAAACCAGCAGCTCTCATTCCTCCTCCTGGTGTGACTTCCTGGGGGAAGCGCACAGCATTTAATAACCTAACACTCTCCTACCACTGACAATCATCTCCGCAAACACAATCACACTCATGCTCTGGAGTCCTAAATATATCCAGGATGGCTTTCCAAGAAGGGGACCAGAGTCCCATTTGGATTTGGAGGGAGGTGGGGTGTGACTGTGACAGATGAGATGAAACTTTTTTTTTCTTTTCATTTTAATAATCGAAATAACATTTTCAGTGGTATTTTAATATATATTTGATGTTAATATTTTGAAAAAAAAATGCTTTTGTCATTTTAAGCAATGTTTATATCTGTTTAGATTGTTATGTTTAGTTTTTAGTTTATTTTAGTACTTCAGCTTAAACTAAATGAAAATGAGAAGTGGCCGAGTACATTATAAATGTACAGTAGCTGAAATAAAATAATGTGTTTTATTCATTTTTTCAGATTTTATTTATAGTCCAGTTAATGTTTATTTTATTTTAAGTAGTGATAATAAGAAGAGTGCACCATAGCAATACAACGATGTTAATCAGATGCTAATAATATGGTACTTAATAAGGAAGCATGGCAACATCTCCCAAAAACAAAACTTGGTAGTATCACATGTGCAATGTCAGTACCATGTTATATTTGTTGGACATGTACCATGGTAACACCGTGTTGTTTTGTTTCGTTCTTTTAAACATTCTTTAAAAAATTTTAAAAAATCATGCTATTACCATCTGATACCATCTGATCACATGAACCGTTGTAATAGGCCTACTATCAATTTTAGAAAATGTAGCATGGTCATATGTATACATGTATATATTTATCCTCCATTGAATGTTCCATGGCAGTACTGTTTTTAGGACATATAATGATGTAATACACTTTTTACACATATTCCTTATATTACATGTGAATATCATTATACAGGATAATCATCCTGTACCGTGGTATAAATACTACGGTATTACCATCAAATGTATCGTGGTGATACCATTATGTAACCCCCTTTTTTTTTTTTTTTTACATACCACAGCAGTACTTTTTGTGGACGTGTGTAAATACTATATATAATATGGTTGTCATCCAGTACCATGGTATGAATCAAAGTACCATGCTATTACCATCTGATAGAATCGCTGTACCATGGTACCGCCTCAGCACTTAGAAAAGTTGGGGGCGGGGGGCTTTAGTCACTTATGAGTCATACCCCTTCCCCCATACACATTTGGCATAGATGTTTTGTTGGTGAGTGTGTGTGTGTCTGCGTCTCTGATAAAGTCAATCGAACGGTGCAAGGACTCTAGCTGACTGGTTACCGTGGCGAGGGTGGACCAGTTACCGGGAGTGACGGCCGAGCAATTGGTGACTCATTGGCGGTTGCTGCTGAGTCCAATGTATTCTGCTCACACTTGCTTTCCACACCTCTCTCTCTCATCACTCTGTTTATGAACGGCGTTCATTCACAAATTCTGTATTTTTGCTCATCTTATATCACCTGAATTCTGCTCCAGCAATCAGTAGCCATCTTATAAACTGTCTATAGGTCAGTGTTTCCTAACCTTTTTGGTTTAATGAGGCCTCATCAGTAAAGCTCAAGAACCTCTTCATCGATAGTGAACCAGAAATGTGCAACTTTTGAGCCATGTTCTACGGGATATCATATAACATCATTCTTATTATTAAAATGATCATAGTTGTCCCAAATGATGTACTAAACACTATGTACTCTACTGTCTAGTGTGTGAAGTTCATATGGTTATTTTGTCATCCAACATTGTAATATGATAACATCTAATTCAAAATATCAACAAAAACGGTAGCACTTTACTTGAAGGGGTGTGCATAAGACTGACATGACACCTTCATAATCATGACATGTCATGAATATGAAGGAGGTTTTATGCATGTTTATGACAACTGTCATTAAGTGTCATTCGCTCAGTTATGTAAATTTTAATGCAAAGATGACATTGTTTGAGATGTCTTTGTTATGGGTTATGGTTAGGGGGTAGGGTTAGGTTAGGGTTAGGTCAAATAATGTCATATTTGCATTAAAAATGACACAACTGAGCGAATGACACTTAATGACAGTTGTCATAAACATGCATAAAAAACCTTCATATTCATGACATGTGTCATCTCATGATTATGAAGGTGTCATGTCAGTCTTATGCACACCCCTTCAAGCAACCCCACTGACTTTTATTGTATGGACATTTTTTAACATATTTTCCTTGGTTTCCACAGAAGAAGAAAAAAGTTTGAAGGAAGAAAGGTGAGCTATCCATTTTACAAAACATTGGAAAAAGTATACCCCTAAATGGAAATCACTTCTATGAAGCAGTAAATCATGCAGCGAATCAAGAGTCCTAGAGTCTTTGAGATGCTGAAATGTTGGCAAGCCATATTACCCAGCTATCTACATCCACAATTCATATTTTTATGAATGAGGAGAGACAGTGAATGCTGGGATGCTGCGATTGGCTGCAGAGGACTCATTCAACCATCCGCCCTCCAAACACACACAGACACAGAGAAAGCGAGGAGACGTCATGCTACGCTTCCGCAGTGCATCAAGGGAATCAGACTGCCTCTGACTCATGCTAGAGAAATTGAGAAAAAGAGCTAGTGGGGAGGGCTCGCTCTTCATTCTGATTTTCTCCTCTTTCTCGCTCGGTGCTCCTGAAGCTGAGTGATGTAATACAGGTGACCTATTCGTCACAGACCACCCCCGCTTCCCCCTGGCAGCCGATTGGCTGAGCGCTTGTATGAATGGGCCGCTCTGTTCCCTGTGGGGAGGGGGTTTGGGTGGAGTGAGGCAGAAGCACGTCACTCGTTCATTGAGGGAAAAAAAACACTGCTGGCTTCCTTGGCAGCAGCTCAAATGAGTTTGCGTGCTGATCTCACTCTTTGTCACACATGTAGGCAGTTTGTGCATAAAGGTGACAGCGAGCATTTTTATTCTGCATGTTTCCTGGTGGATATGCATGATTAACTATTACATGCATATCGTTCATTACAGACAATGAGTTTGTAATGAACGATAGCTGGGTAATATGGCTTGCCAACATTTCAGCATCTCAAAGACTCTAGGACTCTTCATGCATTAATTAAAGACACCTGCATTAACACAGCTATTAAGTGGAATGTATATGGAAGCATAACTGAACTGTGTGTACAGTGTAATAAGAAACAAACCTTAGCAATTTAAACTGCTAAATATATTTCAACCTCAAGTTTCCTGCTGAAGTTCTGTTCTGCTCTGCTCCTATACTGTTGTTCTCTTCTATTTTGCTCTATTCGGTTCTATTCTACTTTACGCTATTCATTCTATTCAGTTCTATTCTATTCTGCGCCTATTCTATTCTTCTCAGCTCTGTTATGTACTGTTCTTATTCCATTCTACTCCGTTTCTATTTAGTTCTATTCTTTTTCTATTGTTTTCTTCTGTTCTATTTCTATTATGATCTATTCTGCTCCTTTTGTATTCTATTTGTATTCCATTCTGTTCTGCTCATACTCTGTACTCTGTACATATACTGTTCTGGTCTATTCTATTCTGTACTGTGCTGTACTTATTCCATTCTACTGTGTTCCTATTAATTTGTTTTTCCATCTGTTTCCATCGTGTTCTGTTCTGCTCCTGTTCTATTCTGTTTCTGTTCTATTCTGCACAAAGAGTTGTGTTCTGTTCAAAAAGAATTGTGTCAAAAAAATAATTGTATTCTGTTATGTTCTGATCATACTCTTCTATTCTATTCTATTCGGCTCTGTTCTGTATACCATTCTTATTCCATTCAACTCTGCTCCAAATCAGTTGTATTTTGTTCTTGTATTCTATTTCTATTGTATTCTTTTCTGCTTCTGTTGTATTCTGTTCTGCTGAAACACTCTTCTGCTATGTTCCTCTCCTATTCTATTCTACTTGTATTCTATTATTCTGCTCATATTCTGTTCTACTCTATTCTATAATGTTCTACACAATTTTATTCTATTCTTATATTATTTTCTGCTCCTATTCTATTTATGTTGTGTTCTACTTCTATTTTGTTATGCTCTGCTTGGCTCGTTTCTATTCTTTTC